CACTATTTTACACGTGCATATCTATATAAATTTATGTTCATGGATGCTATTCAAATTTTGAATTTGATTACACGGAATTTTTTTTATAACAACCGATTAAAAAAATTTACACACACATATATAAAGCATTTAATACATGCATGTTTTGAGGGGAGATAAAATTTGCTATTAATAGAAAGAATTTAACGCTAATCTACTTTGACTATGAATTGATTTGACATTTTTTTTAAAAAAAAAAAAAAACTAGTACGTACCCCGTGCGATGCACGGAACATAGATATTAAATGAGTTATTTTAACAGCCTTGTCCCTTTAAATCTTAAAAGTAATAGTGTTATTATCTATTTTCTACCTCTTTTGATCAACGTTAAGTCTAAAAAATAATAAGGTTATAAGTTTTTTTCATATCTTTTAACCAGCATTGTTTTTTAGCCAGAACATAAATATGAGTATGTTAGGGCTAGCTTGTAAAATAATTAATATATTATCTCACTAAAATATTTATATTGATAAAACTTTAATTTCAGTATATAAATTTATCCCTTGATATAAAAAAAAAGTAACAGTTTTATTTATTCTTGTTCATCATATAATATTTAATTATTATTTTATTATATAATAAAAAAGAATAGTGTTAAATAATTTTTTTTAACACAAACATAATATTAAAAAAATATAAATATCCATACAAATATACGAACCAAGTTTTTTTAATAGTTTTTTATAAGTTTTATAAAAATATATTATAATTTGTTAGTGTATTATTCAAAATCGTAATATTGATTTGTAGTTTTTAGAAACAGAATTTTGATTGTTTTTGCTCACCCCATTTTATGGGATTTTTTTATGTCAAGATAAGAAGGATTAAAAACAATATGTAAAATAGAAAACTTGATTAAAATTATAAATGCATTAATTACTACTTGATAAAATTAGAAGTTCATTAATTAAAGTTGATTTTTCTACCTACTATATTTAGTAAATAGATTTCCTTTTAATATAAGTATAGATGTTATTATTTTTATATAAGTATAGATTGTTTTGCCTCAGGAAACCTTCGTAGACCTACAAAACACGTAGGGAACTTCTTGTTGTAAACCTTCGACACGCAAGTTAGAGATCAAGTTTTTAACAATACAATTTTTACTGATAATTATGTTTTAGTCAAGTATTTGTCTTTGGAGTTTATTTATTTATGAGAGCATAAGTTCTTTTATTTTACATTATAGATAATATGATTCGTTGTGTTGAACGGAAAGATCACATTATCAGTTCATTGTAAAATATAAATAAATGATTCAAGGTCTGGACGGAATTGAACCACATTTTCTGAAAGGTTGTAGTGTAATTTTAATTGAGTTGATTTTTGCCTCATGAATTACGCTAGTACATCTTTGGTGTATTAAATAGACCAACGAAGGAGAAACTTATTTTATATTGACCAAGTACTTATCTTAACACTTAAGACAATAAACGGGCATATGCACTCAGCACATATATACTTGTTGTATTTACTAAGTGTGATACTTATTTTGATTGGGTTGTACTCGGTATTTTGATAACTAATGTTGTTTATATGATGTGTCGTTGACATTGTTTATGGTCATTATGTCTCAATTCATTAGGTTGATGACATCCCCGGAATGAGCTCAAGAAGTTTTTTATGTTAAGCCCTGCAGATGAATTAATTTCCGACATAATTATTACGAACTGAGTGGTACTAATTTTGGATAGAAAAATGATTAATTATATTTTCTGTAATTTAATTAATCAATGGATGTTATATCACAAACATAGGAAGGTAATTTAATCAATTAATTTAACGAAAATGAATTATTAGTGATTCGGAGCTAAATGGAGAATGCAATAATATTATTCTAGTGAAATGTTCTATTATTATTCAAATAAGGACACGCGATGTAAACACAAGTTGTATACATAAGGTGTTGTATTCCTATTCAAAAAGCTCATATTTAGCATCCCCTTAGGGTCTCTATTGTAGGTTATAAATACATCAAGTCTCACACCTCCTACATCATTTTATGCCATTCGATTTTTAGTCTCCTATTAGAGAGAAAAATTGAGTCATATATATATTAGGAAGGTTTGGACGTTTCATCCAGTTGCACCACCAAGCTTATTCGAAGTAGGTGTAGAAGTAATACATCATAAGGTCGTGAGGTTTAACTTTTCGTATCCTGGCGAATTTAATCATTACCAAGAATAGCTGCAAGCAGCCCTTGGCTACCCGTAGCAGTTTCCAATGATACTTGTGTGCACGCTCTGCTCTCAGGACCACAACCATGCACGTCTCTCTGGGCACCGGAGCGTAGACCCGCGAGATTCTCGCCCCCACCCGACGCGCATCGTCTGCCACGCAGCGCACAACACGTGACAACCGCTCCCAGCGCCCGACGCGCAACGCTTGTTTCCAGCGCATCCCACGTGACACCGAAGTTCGACGCACAATGACGCCTAGTAGACCTACACGCGGACAGTGCCCAACATTCAGCCACATTACTTACCTAGACCCGGTGATCCCGAAGCTCAATTCAGCAATCACGAAGCTAGTCCAACTGCCCAACAAACTCAGAAATCAAAAACGTCTTAAAGTTGACAAAAAATTTAAACTGTAAGTCTTAATCCTAACAATATATTCTGCTACGTTAGGATTTATTTTGATAGATTCAGATGTGCATATCAACGTCGTTTCTAATAGAACCCAACAACTGGTATCAGAGTTCGAGTTTAATTCTTCTTTGTGAACTATTCGAATTAGGACTTATGTGCAAACGTGAATTATTTGTGTACGCGCGCAACATATAGTAGATGAATTGTAGATAAATTGTTTGATGGTGTTCTTGAATCTGACTATTGTGGCCCGAATGTATAAAAAAAATCAATTCATATCCAATTCATATTCAAAATCTAACTCACTTTAACTCAACTCCACTATCATCCCCCTATATATAATTCCCGAATGTGTTGAGCCTAAGTGGCAGACTCGCATGCTTCGGGATCCTAGGTGTTAAAATTTCATGTTTTATTATTTGGCTTAGATAAATTTTAATTTAATTTCAATCCAAAAAATTAGGTTCGGATTACTATAAATATGTTGATTTATTTATGATCATTTTAGATGTATTTATTGCTTTTTAATAATATTTTCTATTATAACTATTGAATTGTAAATGTATTTTCAAAGTTGATAACTTTTGTATTTCTTATCGGTTTACATATATAATATATCAACTTAATTATGTTTTAATGAGCTTCGATTTGACATTCATATAAAATAAATAAATTATATTTATATTTATAATTATTAAAAAAAAAGATTTCTTAAATTAGTTAGAAAAATAAAATTATTTCTCAATTAATATATTTATGTTTAATGTAGTTATATGTTATAAGTTAGAAAAATTATTATAATATAACATAGTTAAGTCGCACAAGTAAGAAGTATCATACTAATATATATATTTTATAATAAGTATTTAAATTTTCAACTATTTTTTCTCATTAACTAGTGCAAATCCGTGCGATGCACGGGTGGACATTTTTACGCTATTTATCTAATCTTATTATTATATTTGTGAATAAAAAAATTAAATAAATAGAATAAAAAATAATATTATATATCATAAAAACCTTCTTATACAAACGTCGTTACAAAAAATAAATTGAATCGAGACTCACTGATTATACAAATAAAAAATTGACCAGAGGTTTTTCTATATAAAAAACAACATCGAAACACGCACATTAAATCAAAGAATTTGTTTATATTATTTTGTAGAAGTTGCTTTAATTTCATTTTGGTAATTTTATATAAACGTTAAAATAAAAATTGAGACTCATTTTAAAAAATTAATATATTGGCATGCATATTTCAGGCAAACGTATTTTGTGTATTGATTGATTTTCCAA